CGGCGACCCGCACAGGGTCGCTCGGGGCTGGGACGAGCCGGGCCGCGAGCGCACAAGCGGGGTGTCCGTCGTGCCCCCCGCGACCTCCCCAGACCCCCTCTTTGAGGGGCTGGGTTACGGGGTGCCTGGCGGCTGCCCGGTGGAGTCGGGGTCCCGGAGCTGCCCCTGCCTGGGCCGCCGGCTTCGAGTGAACTCGAAATGTGAAAAGCTGGTCTTGGCGGGGAGTCGGTATCTGTTGAGTACGGTGACTGAACGGTGAAGGGAGGGCGGACTTGAAAAGGACTTGCCTGATGTATGTTTTACTTTGCATTTGTAGATTTTGTCCATTCTGGGTTGAAAGTTACTTTTATTTTAAAAATTCCTTCATTGTAGCATTGCTTGTCTTACAAAGAATCATAAAGGATACGGTTGCCGTGAGCTTAATGGTCTTTCTTATGTCATCGCTGTCATTGACTTTGTCATTCATTTTGGATGAAATTTTACGTTCTTTTTGGTTGAAATTTTCTACACTAGCTCCTATGGGGTATGTGATGTCGGATTAACACAGTGTGCGCGGGGAAATGTTGTACCTGTAAATGACAGGAGGATGAGGAGGCTGGGCTTAGCTTTGAGTGAGTGAATACTAAGTGTAGCTTTGTTTTTCTTTTGTGATTTGTGATTTTAGGCACCGATAGCACATTTTCAATTTGCGAGTTGTTTTTTGCCTCAGGAAAAAAACGGTTTAAGTGTTTTTATTTATTTATTTATTTATTTATTTTTGGGATTACCTTGACTAGCAGTCCCAGATTTAGAGTTCTGAAGAGCAGTGTGGAGAGGTTGTATGGGAAGCAGAAGTGGTCTCTCTTTGAATGAAGTTAAATCACTGTGGAGAATTATAGCCGGAGGGCTGGAGATATAGCTCAGGGGCATAAGCGCCTGCCTAGCAAGTACAAGGTCCTGAGTTCGATTCCTAGTACCAAAAAAAGAAAAGAAAAGAAAAGAAAAGAAATCGGTCAAAGAATTACAGCCGGGCGTGGTGGTGCACACCTATAATCCCAGCACTCAGAAGGCTGAGGCAAGAGGGTTGTTGTAAGTTTCAGGCCACCCTGGGCTACAAAGTGAGTTCAAGACCACCCTGAATTACATCGTGAGACCCTGCCTCTAAAAGACCCCCCCTAAGAGAGAATTACATTTATGAGACCCTGATTCTACTATGCCCCCAATTGTCTTTTTCATTCATTTTCTTAAACTGAACATTTAAAAAATTTTTTTTATTATTGCGGCTCTGGGAATTGAACTGAGGGCTTTGTACATTCAAGGCAGCCTCCCACCATTGAGCTATGTCTGCAACTCTCCCTTTAATTTTTTAAAAAACATTTTTGAAGAGAAATAATGTCACTTCATGCATCCCTTCTAGCAACTGTATATCAGGCCTGAAAATTTTACCTGTCGGTGTTAGAAATCTCCAGGTTAAGAATCTACATGGTTCATCTGCCAGCTCCTGCCGCCTTTCTTTCATGGGTTTGGTGTATGTCTTCTTTATGTTGGGCAGCGGGTAAAAGGTTCCTGTCCGTGGGAGTCACCCTCTTAGGAGAGAGGACTTTCACATAGACCCGTTGCAGTAAAGAAATACGGAAAAATGCGAGCTTCCCAGTGCGGGGCAGGCGTGAGCTCTGGTTTCCCAGCATTATGTAGTGGGCTCAACATGTTTTTGCTAACCTCTTAAAGCGTGTTTCCATGTCTAAAAGGAGAAAGATACTTCCCGCTCCAGGCTGTGGGATTTAAGTGAGAGGACCCATGTAAAGTAGGTAGCATACTTCATGGGATGCTGTACGTGCGTACTAGATGTTCGATTTTCCCCCTGCCTTCCTGAGGGCTCTAACGCATGGGGCTGAACTGAGACAAGAGGACGGGCCTTTGCACCAGACCAGTGACTTTTGTCTTACTAAAATCCTTTTGGCAAGTGTAAAATTTGTTGACACTATTGGTCTGTGACATGGCTTAGTATATTCATTAAATTGTTCTAAAAGTCTGTGTGCTTGATAATGATTTTATCATATTTTGTAGTTGTAGTAGAGTAAGTGGCTTTAAGTACTGAGACTTGGATTTATGCCAGATGACTTAATAGTCTAGTATCTGTCAGTGCTGTGGAATGTGCATAGTCACCCTCATTGTACCTGCGAAAGTTGAGATCCAGGAGGAAAAATAACTTGGTCCAGGTTGCCAGCTGGCTTGTAATGATTATCGCTCACATCTGGTAAGTGCTTGTGTGTACCGGACACTGTGTACAATTATTTCCGCATGTGTTATTTCAGGTAACCCTCCCAGCCACTCCATGAGTTAGGCTCGTGGGAGTGACAGAGCTGGATTTTGAATCCATACCATTTTTTTTTAATAATTAAGAATTGAAGAAAAATAAAGCATCTTAAAACATCTATAGTCCAGTCCGGGTGGCACGATACAGAGTACAGAAAAGCGATCCGTGATGACAAGTATAGGCATAATACACCAGTGGAACCAAGATTCCCTTTGCAAGAGAAGTACCTGTAGGAAACGCAGAAGTCGTACCTTTGTTGTAACTGGGCATAATACTCTGTTGGTTTCAGGGTCTCTTTGGCGTGCCCGAGCTCAGTGCCCCCGAAGGGTTTCAGGTGGCGCAGGAGGAAGCCTTGCGAAGGGCGGAGGTGCTGGTGCAGCGCGCCTGTGCCACGCCCGCCGGGCCGGAGACCGTGCGCGTCTTCGATGAGCTGTCCGACACCCTGTGCAGAGTGGCTGACTTGGTAAGACGTTCGTCTGCGATGTCGCCTCTCTTTCAGCAGCATTTATCCTTTGTTTACAAGTAAAAGTCAATGGTAGAACGTCTGAAATAATGGAGAGCTATCACGTAGAAGTGGTCGCGTGCCAGTACGCCCCGGGGATGGGGAAGCGGAGCTGGTGTGTGGGCGCCTGGCGGCCCAGCACGGTGGGAGCCGCCCTGGGTAGTGGGGGGACCAGGGGAGACCCTGTCTCAGCCAGAGGGCTGGCATGCAGCTCGGGGAAGGCCCGGGTTCAGTCCCCAGCGCTGTGGGGTGGGTGGGGAAGAAGGATATTTAGAACTTGTGCTTTAATATGTACATACGGTGAAATAGACACGTACTGTGTAACAGAAGAACAGTTGCGAATGCTGAGGTTTTTTTGTTTGACAGAGGTCCTTTACTCCTGAAAGCTGCTACCAGTAATTCTGATAGACCATTTTACGTGTACGTTTGTACTAAAATCCCTCTTTTTCATAAAATGAATGATATCAGTGTTTATAAGCCTTTTCAGGAATATCGAACTGCTTGCATTAAGTACTTTGTCCTGTTTTGAGGTTGAAATGAGACGTGCACCTCGCTGTCTCCTTCAGCTGAGAAGGCCCCTGCTGAGAAGTCATGCTCTGCCATCAGCCCAGAGGGGCCAGACCTCTGACTTGCAGCGGTGAGGGCCTTTAGTGGTGCACGTAACCTAAAGTCATGGTCACCCAGGGTGCTGTCTGCGTGGTGTTGAGCGGTGACGGTTTTTGTCTTGCGTTCAGTCCATAGTGAACACCTACTACGTGCCGGACACCGTTCTAGGCACAGGGTGGCCCCAGGTTTTTAGATCCTGCGGAGTGGGGGCTGGTGAGAGGTTCGTCTGGATCTTCAGTGATTCATTTCTCTCAGCAGATCTTGGCTTGCGGCCTCGCATCTGTCGGCTGGGCCGCCACTGATCTGTCTCCCGTCCTAGCTTGCTGCCTTTTTCAGAACGGCGCATAAACGGAACCCGCTGGAGACCGCTCCTCCCCTCAGCATCTTCGCTCTTTTCCTTTGTGGGAATGTTTCCTCTCTCCGTAACAGAAAGTGTCCTTGTTGAAAGGTTTTTCCCCCGGAGTAAAGCCTGGGGCGTGGCAGCCAGGTCCCAGCTGGGCTGCGTCTCTATGCTGGTGCCCCACTGTGTGCCGGCGCTGGCCCTCTGACCGTGGCGGAGCAGTGGACACGCACTGCGGGGCCGAGGCTGCACCTTCCCGACCTGACTGCCCCTGAAGTTGGAGAAGGAAGACGTGTGAGCGGGTTTTCTGTACATACAGACAGAGGTTCACTGCGCCCTCAGAATCATGGAATTCATTTTTTTTTTTGCTTAGTCCCTCTTCTGAGTACGTAATATTCTAGAATTTTTCTCTACATTTTGCTTTTGCTCTTCACAAAACAACTTTAAATTCTGTATGCTACATCTTGCCCTATCTTTGAGGTTTTTTTTAATATTTGTGATGTATAGTAGTATCTCATTTTGAAAACTTTTGAAGCTGGATGTGGTGGCACAGGCCTGTAACCCCAGCACTCTAGAGGCTGAGGCAGGAGGATCAAAAGTTCAAGCTCAGCCTGGGCAGTTTGTTGACTTAGCAAGACCCTGTCTCAAAATGGAAAGAAAAAGGGAGGGGACTGGTGATGTAGCTCAGTGTGAAGGCCTTGAGTTCAGTCCCCAGCATCCAAAAGCCAGAAAACCAACAAAAATGTATTAAAAAAAATAAGTTCTAGTGTAACTTCGTTATATGTATGAATTCTCTGGGTAAAGCTAGTGAAAGAACTTTCATCTTTCTGAATTTTTACCATGTTACCTGCTGATATGTTCAATACCATTGTAAGCCAATACAAGTGTTATATAAACTATTTCTTACCCACTGCAGTAGCCATTTTGCTTTTTCTTTTTTTAATACAATTTTTATGTAACGCAGTTACTTTCCTTGTCACTTGTAAGATGCGTACTCATGATTTGATCGTCAACGGTGTAACTTACGCTGCATGTAAATTCGTAATTTACAAATTATGTGTGTTGTAAATTTTACAAAGCCTATTTTCAGATGCCTCGGCACTGGGACCTTATTGTTACTTGCTGTTACAACAGATATATTAACTTTTAAAGGTTTTTGCATTAAAAGCTTTAACACTCCCCCCCCCCCCGGGTACTGGGAGTCGAACTCACAACCTTGCGCTTGCCAGGCAGGTGCTGTGCCCCTGAGCTAAATCCCCAGCCCGCATTAAAAGTTATTTGATAATAAAATTAGGAAATTTTACCTTGTGGTGGTTTTAGTTTATGTTAGTATGTAGTTACAGTGTCTTCTTGGAGAATAAAGAAAATATGTAATATTTCCATTTTCCTTTTATTTTCCAGTTCACTGGCAGTTTTCTTTAGTACTGTACTCTAACACAAAAGCCAAAACCTAGTTTTATGTGATTTCATTTTTGTTCTAAGAATTTTTAATTTAACTCTGGTCATTGTAGCAGCATCAGTAGACATTTTGAGCACTGTTGGATGGGGGCGGAGTTCGTATTTTATAAATGGGCTGCCAAAAGAATGCGCCTTCGTTGTCTGCTCAGAGACTAGAGTGCGGTTGAATTGTTTTTTTTTTTTTTCTGGTACCAGGAATTGAACTCACGACCTCGCGCTTGCCAGACAGCGCTGTGCCGCTGAGCTAAATCCCTAGGCCCTGAATTGGTTTTAAAATAAGCTGCATTGGTTATACAGTGTCAGGTTGTAAAAAGTGCTCTGACTTACTCTCTAGGGCCTGCTTAACGTGAGACGTGTTCTGCAGATAGTTTGGAGTCGCAGAGCTTTAGGTTGTTTTTGCGTGCGTGTGTGCACACTAACTGGGGGCTGAACCCAGGGCCCTCACACTGAGCTGCATCCTCAGCCCTCTATTTTTTATTTTTGAAACTAGGTCTAATAAGTCACTAAGCTGCCCACGCTGGATTTGAATTAGTGATTCTCCTGCCTCAGCCTTCCAGGGTGCTGGGGTGACGGGTGTGTGCCGCCGTGCAAGTGTCAAGAGTGTTTGAGTGCAGGGTCTGTTCTTTTCAACTATTGGCTTAGGAAGAATTGGCTTCATTCACTTGAAGGCGAAAGAGTTTCCTCAGTCAAGTTCATACTTTCTTTAGAGTGAGGCTTGGCTGCAGGGATCGCAGACTTAGTCAGTGAGGAAGGAGGAGGCTGCGTTGCCCTCCTGGCTGAGGGAGTGTGTGGCAGGTCAAGCTCGGCGGCCCACTGTGAATCGCAGGTTTCCGTTTTCCCCCTGAGACCTTGGCAGCAGGCGCTCCATCAGTCCCCTTGTGCTTTTGTCGTCCCCTCCCTAGGCTGATTTCGTGAAGATTGCACACCCGGAGCCGGCGTTCAGAGAGGCCGCCGAGGAAGCCTGCAGGAGCATCGGCACCATGGTGGAGAGGTACGTGCCGCCCCTCCGTCCCGCTCCAGGTGCCAGTGACGTGGTTGCCGGGCTCCGCTGCAGGTGGTTTCCGGCCCAGTGCTCGTGCCCACCTGGCAGGGTGGGAGGTGGCCTGTGACCCTGGGGCAGCGCCGGGGGTGGTTCGGAAGGGGAGGGCTCTGGGGCACCTTCCTCGCCTTCCTTTCCTGCCCTCTGCGGGGCGAGGCTCACCTGCCTTCAGGGGCGCTGTGGGGGTCACATGAGGTCCGTGTAAAGCATTCTGAGGCGTGAGCCCCTCCGGTCACTCGGGAGACGCATCCGGCTTCACCCTTGCCCCTGCTCTCCGTGCCTGAGGCCTGTGTGGGGCCCAGTGGCGGCCGCGGTTCTGGGTTCACGCGCAGCTGCAGTCCCGTTGCCCCGTGGCTGTAGCGCCCCCTCCCCAGGAGCTGAAATTACGACGCCCAGGTGGCGTCCTCAGGGCTCTGCTGAGATGGGATTGGGGGACCCAGGAGGGCTGTTAAATTCTGGGAGGCCCGAGGCAGACCGCAGGTGTCACAGTAATTCATGATGATGTGAGTTACGTTAAAGTCATTTGGAGGTAAACTGATCCTTTCTCAGCCATCCATGAGAGCGCCAAAGTGCTCGTTAAAATAACCGCACAGTGCCGTGTTCCGAAACACTCGGGTGGCGACGCCACGCCAGAGGGCGCGGGAGGCGGGGCAGCCCTGGGGGTTGCCGGGCAGGGATTTCCAAGGGGAGCGGGCTGGGAGGCACCCAGAGCCTGTTCCAGAACTAGACGCTGGTGCAGGAGGAGGGTGGCGCCTCCAGTCAGGCAGGGCTTCCTGGGAGACGGGCGTCTCAGGACGAGCGGCCGTTGCTGTCCTTACAGCGTCGCCCTCAGGCGCAGTTCGTGCGACTGCCTCAGTTTGCTCAAGGGAGAAGGTTGGTCCTGGCGACGTCCAGACACTGGACGAGGCCACAGTGGGGAGCAGCTGGGAGAACGGCCGTCCACGATGGGGGGACCCAAGAGCGGGACCCGCGTGGCCAGGCCCCCGCCTGGGTGCTTGAAAGCTGTGTCCTGCAGGGTGCAGGTGCAGCCTGCTCTGCGGATGAGCACTCTGGGGGCGCGTGGGGCACTGTTGCCACATACTGGTTGTACGAGTCAGTGTCTTCTCCCGGACACTCCCCTCCGCCCGAGGACTCTTGTTCCGCGGGAGGAAAGCGGAATCGCTCTTGACGCAGTGGTGTGCGTTTCTGCCTCTGTCCGCCCCTCGCCGTGGACAGTTTCAGTTGTGTGAAAGTTGAGCCGTCCAAGGGCCCTCACCGCCTTGCCCAGAGCGGGGCTTTCTCCAAGCACCGTGGCTCGGGAATTTCCAAACGCTGGTTCCCGCTCCGGCGTCGTTGTATTGTAACTGACTTCTTCAGCCAGTATTTGCAAGGTCAGGATTACTTCAGCTGGTGTGTGGGATTGATTTATTTCCTGGTAGTAGGGGAAAAGCACTACATGTGGTGAACTGTTGCTAATAATGGCAAACGCAGACTTTATCTCAGGAGCTTCCGACACAGGACAGAGTGTCAGGTCTGCGCTGAGACTTCTCAGGGTAATGCAGCGCAGGCCTCCTCCACCCAGCCGTCCTCGAGACAGCGGGCGGCCCTGGGGCAAGCAGGCGGCAGGAGGGGCCCACGCTTTCTCCTGACTCTTAGCCTTGCTGGAGTGGTGGACGAGAAGGTCTGCGTGGCTCTTCCTGTGAGTGTCTTGATTGGTAGTGACAGTCCCCTTACCCGTGAGAAGACCCAGGAGAATGACGGCAGAAGAAACCCGTGGGCTTATGTATTTGAAAAGTGGCGCTTTGATTGTGAATTGACTGAGGAACCGGGTCAGTCGTGAGGCGCTGAGTAGGAACTGGATGGTTCTTCTTACTGTGTCTCTCCCTGCGGAGCCCCCGGCAGGGGCAGGGTGTGTCTAGTCCAGCGCTGAGAGTGTGCCAGGCCTTGTGTCACGTGGCCCTGCTGGTCCCGTGGTTGGGCTGGAGCCCCGTGGTGGTACTGGCTCCCCAGCAGTGCTCAGGGTGGCCGGCGGGGCTGGCGGCAGCTCCTTAGGCTGAGGGAAGCGTGTTGTGCGCACAGGGTCTCAGCCTGTCCTCACGGCGCCCTGCGGTCTCAGTGTCCCCAGTTGCAGGGCTGCAGCAGGGCCAGCCGTGCGTCTGCGTGCAGCTCTGCAGCTTGTGTCCTGAGGTCCTGTCCAGTTGCCCCTGTCACGCAGGTGAGCACAGGGAGCCCCGGGCCTGGGTGCCGACTTCAGGACCGGAGGAGCTCGTTGCTGCTCAGCCGCGTCCCGCCCTCACGGTCTCTGCCAGTGTTTGCGGAAGGGATGGGTCTCCACCAGGTCGCCGGTCCACCTGCCCCTTTCCTGTAGCCCCCCAGCACTTGGCCCCTGGGCACTTGCACGCCCCAGTGTGATGCCGTTTGTCTGATGTAGATAAAAAATGATGTGTTAGAAGGTAAGATTTTTTCATTTGTAACTCTTCCAGGTTGAACACGAATGTGGAGCTGTACCAAAGCTTGCAGAAATTACTAGCTGACAAAACGCTTGTGGACTCCCTGGATGCTGAAACCAGGTATGCACGGCTTCCTTGGAGTGCGCTGGGACGGGGGCTCAGAGGAGGGCAGGGGTCCCAGGGCCGCCGCACTCACCGCCCGGGTGTGGTGGTCCTTCCCCCACCTCCACTCCTCTGCGCCTTCTCTAAGACCTCTCTCAGGCGGCTCCTCCTCACCCGGCCTGGGCACCTTCCCTTACTTCAGCATTTTCTTTTTAGCTCTGGTCTGCGTGCTAATTTCTGTTCCTCTTTCTGCCTCACGGACTGCCACCTTCCAGAGGGCAGGTGTGGTCTCTTGGTGTGTCCTCAGCCCTTAGCTAGTGAACTGCCCTACACAGCTGGTGATTACACTTAGCCTTATGCTTGAGGCTCTGTAGTTAGTACCGTCAGCAGATATAAGCAAATCAGTTTTATTTATTGGTTGGGTATCATGGTGCTTGAAATGATTTGCTTTGGTTCATTAAATTACATTTATTAGTCTGACTTGACAGGCCTAATTTCTAAGTCCGTACATATGGATAAGAATGCATGCTATCTATGATCTTGGATAGCCTTATGTCTTGTTCAGATTTGCTTATGAAAACAGTATCATTCACAGTAGCTTCAACAAAAATGAAATACTGAGGACTTAATCAAGGATATGAAGGACAGACCTCTATAAAGAAAACTGCAGCTCTCTGAAACCGGAGATTGAAGAGAACATCAGAAAATGGAAAGGTGTCCCCTGACACCTGGGTTGGCAGAACAAATATTATCAAAATGGCTGTCTTAGTTTTCTCACTGCTGAGACAAAATAACCAACACCCCAAAGTTAAAGGAGGAAAGATTTATTTAGCTCACAGTTTGTAGAGGTTTAAGTCTGTAATCGGCTGGCTCCAAGGGAAGGCGGCATGGCAGAGGAGAAAGAGTTCATGATGGGCAGAATGCAGCAGAACAGTGAAGCAGCCAGTAACAAGCAACACCAGCAACCCTCTTCCTGTCCTTTATATTCTTTCCTGGCTACCTGCCTATAGGGTGGGTAGCACTCAAACCGAGGGTGGAATACCCATAATCCTAGCATTGTACCATGAATCAATCCCAGTATCCCATCCTTAATCCCAGCATCACACACTCAAGATCCAGCCCTGCCTGTGACTGCATGAGGCTCTGGGGGGACATCTAAATATAAGCCATAACAATAGCCATATTCCCAAAACTGTTATACAGATTAACTGTAGTCCCAATCAAAATATCAACAGCATACTATATAGAACTACAGGAAACAATCTTAATATTTATATGGAACCAGAAAAGACCCAGAGAGCAAAAGCAGTTTTGGGCAACAAGAGCAAAGCAGGAGGCCCTATAATACCAGACTTCAGACTACTGCAAAACCGTAGTGTACCAGGCGTGGGACTGGGACAAAAACATACGTGGATCAGTGGAACAGAGTACAGGATACAGAAACTTCCCAGGCACATTCAGCTAGTTTATCTTTGGCAAAAGGTCCAAAAGCATGTTGGAGAAAAGATAGTCTATTTAACAAGTGCGGCTTAGGAAACTGGTTATCTGTTTGCAAAAGATCGAAACTGGATCTGTATCTCTCATCATGTACTGAATTAAAATAAAAGTGGATCGAAGATAGAAACATTAAAACAGAAGCATTAAACTTTCTGGAAGATAAAATAGGTAAAACACTTGACATAAGTGTAGGAAAGGATTTTCTAAATAGAACCTCAACTGCACAAGAAATAAGAGCAAAAATGAAAAAACGGGATTATTTCAGACCAGTAAGCTACTGTGCAGCAAAAGAATCAATTACTAGAATGAAGACACAGCCTACAGAATGGGAAAAAGTTTCTGCGAGCTCCTCCTCAGTCAGAGGACTGATCTCTAGCATATACAATGTAAGGAATTCAAAGAAATTCGACCCCTAATGTTAAAGACCCGGTCAAGAAATGGGCAAGTGAGATGAACAGACACCTCACGGAGGAGGAGTACAGGTGGCCGCCAGACGTATGAAGAGACGGTCAGTGTCTGTTGGTACTTGTTCCCCGCTCGCAGAATTTCACTTCCTAGCGTTTCTAAGAAGCTGAGCCGTAAAGGAAAGAGTGGTTTTCTAAACCTGTGTGTTCCCTCCGAAAGGATAAGTAAAACTCAGAACGTACAGTAGATGGTAGGAAGGGAAAGGAACTGCTCCAAGGAAGAAGACTGGGGTGAGGGAAAGAAGAAAAAAGAAAGAAGGAAGACAAATACATGTGAATAGCTGCGCTAACTGTACTGCTGATGAAAGGAACAGTTAATGCTTAAAATCTTTTATGTTCTGGCCAATTTTGCATGCTTATATCTGGTAGTCTGAGCAACGGATTTGAAGGTGACAGTGTGCAATGGAACTAGCATGGTGCATTCCTACCATCTTGTCTAGTGAAACTCTGTATTATCTCTGACGTTTTATCTAATAATTATTTTTTTATTCTCTTTAATGGTTCAAACAATCTTCCACTCTTAC